CTTTTGTAAATCAATTTAAATAAATAGAAATAATAAAGACATGTGTTAATTATTAATCAGTGAATTCGCCCTTTACTTGCCCGGCAACCCTACATAACATCTAGTGGGTTTTATTGTTCTAAGTTAATTATTACACGTTTGGCTGACGAGTTGAATTGTGGAATCATTTTCCGAACAAGCTCCTAAAAAAATTAAAGTTGATCTTTTTCAGAAGAATAGTTAGTTATTTCTTATCTGGCAGATCAGAGTAATAGATTTAAAATCTATAAATATTGATTGATGATTAATAATTATATATAGTGTATTAAGGAATGAAAATAAATTAAAATTCAGTTAAATTAAAGAGTTGTTCGGGATTAAGCAATTTCCAAGACTGTTGGGTCTCGGTATCGGTAGTCCCTTTAGCTCTCAAATTTCTGTAAACACTTGGGTACGAGAATTTTTGAGTTCTTGTTATGATTTGGTTTCAAATGGGCTACAATGTTTATATGGTCTTCGAGTAGTAACGTCGCTTAGAATTCTATACATTTCTTAAGCCTTGTTTTTTCTTAGAATTCTCGAAAATTCTAGAGTTTTCACTAATTGCGAATCATTCAATCAAACAGGTATGAGTTATTCACTACGCTATTCAGCCAGTGCTTTCTGCCATACACCAGTCGCTCAGTTACACTTACACAATGAAGCCATCCCTAGGAATACACGTTTTAATTATCAAGTGTGCTACAACTTACAAGCAATCAAAGGTGCTGACTGCATTACCAGAAACCATACGGCTACAAAAAGTATAATCTCACGGTATTTCCTTACACTTTTGAGGCCATACGTCCTAGACAGGAGTGTGCGCACATTTCTGCTAATTCTTACAACATTAGCAGAGACCATGACTACTCCACCATCAGGGCAATAACATCAATGAGACAAGACAGAGCTTACACTCTTCTATGATAAATGAATGCTGCTCATTATTAATGTAACTATTAATAAACCATATGTTAACGAAGATAGCACATTTTTCAAAATATTATCAAAAATATTTCAATACTGTCTAAAAAAATAGTCAAGTTTGAAATAAAAAATATTCTAATAAATCATTATTTACGTGTAAAAATGATATACAAGTTAATTTTCACTTAGAATAAAAGAACAATGTTGTATTAAATGTGGTTAATAATTATATTATGCATTAGAAGATATTTTTTCAATAAATTACATGATCTACAAAAAATTTTAATTTTTACAATCAAATTTGTTTGATGATAATATATAACATGAAAGAAATAAAAATTGTGAAAGCATGTAAAAATATGTAAGCATATACAGAATATTGTTTTAATTATTCATTTTAACTTTTTGCCATTAAGATTCTGCGATGATAATAAATGTTCTTGGTGGAAAATCAATAATAAAAAATATATTAGATTATATATAATAGAATTATATATAATAATCAATTAAGATGGAGTTTTATGAAAGAATTTCGAATTACATACATTCAATTCTTTTTTTCTTTTTTTTTGCTGAAAATTGCAAGCATGTCGCATAGTTAAAAAAATAAAAAAAGTTCTTGAGACTCTTATTTTTTATAGTAATGTTTACAAAAATAAAAAGGATTCATAGGTTTTGTATTATTAAATATTTAGAGATTAATTATTTTTTAAATTAATCATATAATCGTTTTCTTTCTTTATATATATAATACTTTTTCATTACAGAATAAAGAAATACAACAATAAATAATACAAGTGTTAGACATTTCCTAAAAAAATATATATATAAATTCGGAATGATTAGAATTTACTGCGACTGTCTCGGTTTGTTTCTTTTCTTATAAAATATATAAATCTAATATAAGAAGTTCATATTAAACTTAAGAAGAATATGAAAAACTAAATTTATCGAAAGATAAAAAATAGTAATGGCTAAAATATAAAAAATACAATATAATTGCAAAGTAATTTCGACAAAAATAAAATAAAATACGAATAAAATTAATTACTACTTTATATAAAATAAATCCAATTTATATAACCTTTTAACAGCCATCATATACTATTAAGAATTTCAATTATATTCTATCATTCAAAATACTTACAAAAAGTCATAAAGTTAGTAAAGGAGTAGAAAACTTAAATTAATTTTAATTAATTATAATAATAATTAATTGTTTTTAGAATCAGACTATGGCTATCAGTCTCCTGGTAAGAGATAAGTGTGGGTAAGTGGAAAGGGTTGCGCTTCAATTTAGTATTTAGCAGATCTGCTTCTCGTGCTTGTTATTTCCTTTATTTTACATCTACAATATAATGATTCTACGTTGATGATGAGAATCGCTGAGATCTTGACGTTTCTTGGTTATTGCCACGTGTTGTCAGCATGCACTACTTATAGATGTAGGAAGTCGTAAATCTCTGGATTCTCTTGATGCAGTACACTTAGTGGTGTACTACACTAAGAAGTGACAGGACGTAAATCTTTTGATACTTTTTAATGTAGTGACATATGGTGGTAACTTGATTGCTGGTCTTGTCCAAGCTATCTTGTGGTGTAGAAGGATGAGAAAATGGGTCGATACCTTCATGTGGTGTCGAATTGTATTGCTTGCTCTGGTTTGTGGAAGCGACTACTTGAGAGAGTGCAGACAGCACAGAGTATGAAAGAGTTCTGAGAGAGTGTGCGATGGCACCGTGTATGAGAAAGGTCTGCAACAGCTTCGAGCTCTGGGCACTATGTATGAGATTCTACTTGGTATGAAACTGTTGCTGGTACCTTCCGCAATGGCTCTCCTGAGAGAGTGGGTGATTGTTCGAATGACTCGTTTTTGGTTGAATAGCGTCTATCTCGTGGTGCGCTTGCCTTAAATATCCTCGCAGCAGCTTTGTTAGCTGAGAATAAGGAGGTGATTGAGATGCTTGAAACAACGGATACCATTGTGGTACTAGAAACAATGGATGTGGTTGTGCACTTGTATATCCGAACCTCCAACGACCGTTGGAAAATTTCACAGAAATTATAACCGTTGGAAAATTTTACAGAAATTATAAATGTTGGAGTTTTCCCCCAAACTGATAGCTGTTGAAGTTTTCCCTGAAATCATAACCGTAGGGGATTTCTCCGAAATGATAGTCGTTGAACTATTCGGTTTCCCCAAAATTATAACAATCGAGACATTCTGGGAACTTCGTTCAAGTTGCTTATTCGAACTATCTCGTATTTAAATTTCAACTCATCAACTATCTATATGTTACGGTTTACAGCAATTTTACGCGGTAAACAAAGTGGGAGAGGTAAAGTCACCTATGCTTAGTTAGAAACACTTGCGCACCGAGTCATAAACAATTCTGCGAACTCGGAAAGCCTCACTACTCAATGTATTCGAATATTACATTACGATTTCGACTAACAAGGGCCGACGAACTCCCCAAGGCTAGACTCTAGTGACGTCACTCTAACAATCGGCTTAGCAAGAGTTATCCAGTAATCACCGGAATCGGAAGCTTCTACTAGGATATTTAAGGAGACGCGCTTGACGCTCTCGCCCTCTTACTAGTTCAATCAATCACTCATCAAGATCGTATCGCCATTCTACAGATCGACTCCAGCATAACGTAAGCCAAGCTCATTCGGCCATCCAACGCTACAGAGATCGACTCCAGCTCAACGGAAGACAAGCTCACTCGGCCTACCAATGCTGTTACAGAGATCGATTCCAATACGTACGTAACGCTATTACACACGTCCCTACGTACTATCAATGCCACTGAGATCGACCTCAATACACGTAAACTACGCTATTACATAAGTTCTTACGTACCATCAATGCAACTGAGATCGACTCGAACACACGTAAGCTACGCTATTACACACGTCCCTACGTACTATCAATGCCACTGAGATCGACCTCAATACACGTAAACTACGCTATTACATAAGTTCTTACGTACCATCAATGCAACTGAGATCGACTCGAACACACGTAAGCTACGCTATTACACACGTTCTTACGGATCACTAATACACGGCTCCCGTCAACTAAGTAAGCAGCAATCTGAATACACGGTATACAGTGCGAGGAATCCTCCCACCCGTCAAGCAGTGACGTGACACGGACATCCTCCTTCCCTCAGGCCGCTACAGCGTTCATCCCTCGCCAGCGGCAACGGCGGCATCATCGCCGCACCCTTACCAGTGATGTCACACGGGCGTCCCCCATTATCAGAACGCTACAGCGCTCATCTCGCCAGCGACAACGGTGGCATCATCGCTGCCCCTTATCAGCACAAATCTCCCACTACCACTACGAGTTCATAACTACGAGTAGGAGAATCAAGCACCAAGCTACCAAGAATACACTTACAGAATTCTTGTCGCTAATATTAATTGAAGAAACTCTCATCTATTCATTGTATCATACATTCATTTCGACATACATAGACCACTGACTATTTATTATATTATTATATTCAATAAAAGGAAAGACACTACACTCAAAGGGCAGTGTTGAATTATTGCATTGTCCTTTTCACTTGCCAGCAAACCTCCATCCACCATCACAGGGAGGCTTTTTAGTCTGATCCCAGACACTATTTTATCAATAATCTAAATACAAAAATTATTTAGAATAAATATAAAATGATTTAGATTATAAAAAATGTAATTATTTATTAATTTAAACAATTTAATAACAATATTTAAATTTAGATATTATTATTATTTCACAATCATATTTTCATAAAAAAATCGCAAATTCTTGATTTTTTTTTATAATAAATATTTTCTAAAATAAGGACAACAATATATCAAAAGTATTTTCTAGAATTATTATAATCTTATAATTATAATACAATTTTGAGTACTTATGCTGCAATACATATATCATTAAATACGTTCTTTTACATCTGTAAATGGTTTTTTAGCATTATTCAAACATATTTTATGAAACCTCACATTGTTTGTTAAATATTTTAAAATAGTATTTACATATATTTTAAAATTACCTAAATTTATTAGTTGCCAATTCGCCAAGTTCATAAAATTTTATTTCTTCGGAGAAAACATCTAGAGGCACATTAACAGGCCTACGTAAACGACCACCACTTTGATAATAATACAAAATAGCATCGAATGATGGTCGATTACGGTCAAAGAAATATTCGTTGCGTAGTGGATCAAAATAACGTATCCTCCTTGCTGGATCTCCAAGTAATGTATCTGGAAATTGATTGAGAGTCCTTAGTTGTGTTTCGAATCGTAATCCGCTTACCTGAAAACATAATTTGTGTATATATATATATATATATACACACATAAATATGTATACTAATTAAACGGTATAAATAAAATCAATTTATAAAATGAAAAGAAAGAACTTTACATATATTTTTTTAAAAAGAAATTTTTTATTGCCTAACAAATTAAAATTAATCAATTTTAAACATAAAAGTTTAAATATATAAAAATATATATTATTATTAATTATTATATTTAAAAATTTATATTTGAACTATATATTCAATTTTTTAGATTTGATGTTTTCGAATAAAGTAATATACATTTTAATTTTTATTGATCTTTTTCTAGTACATAACTGCTTATAAGTAATTCACTGTGTTGATTTATCAGCATATAATATAATATCAGCATATATTATTTTAATTTGATTTTATTCAAGTTATATTATTTAGAATACACATGATGATTATTTATTCCTACACGTTGAATTTTATTTTTCAAACTATCTATTATTTATAATTAATATTTGTTTAAGAATGTGAGACCCTTTTTTAATGCAATAAAACATCTGGTAAGTAACATCGTGAAATTTGTATTTAAGACTTCAAAACTTTCCTGCTCATAATTATTTAGCACTAGTGTTATGAATTGCAGCAGCATTTACGCGGTAAACAAAGTGGGAGAGGTAAAGACACCTGCTTAGGTCAAAATATTGCACGCCAAGTCGTAAACACGATTCTCCGAAATCGGGAAACTTCAATACTCAAATAGTCTATTCCGACTAACACGGTTCGGCGAACTTTCCAAGGCTAGATTCGTTTCGATTTCGATCTAGTGACGTCACAAGAACAGTCTAGAATTCACTGGAATCGGAAGCCTGTACGATAATATTTAAGGAGACGCGCTTGACGCTCTCGTCCTCTTACTAGTTCAATCAAGCAGTCATCAAGATCGAATCGCCATTCTACAAGTTAACTCCACGTACATAGAATTTATATCCAATACACACAGAGTGTCTCCAACACACGTAAGCTACGCTATTACACACGATCTTGCGTACCATCAATCCAACTGAGATCGACTTCAACACACGTAAGGTACGCTATCACACACGTTCTTACGGTAGTTTATCGGTAGCGGCAACCGGCGGCGTCAAAACCCCTCCTAAAGAGTGACGTTACACCAACGCTCCCCTCTCACAGCGCCTCACAGGCCGCTCCAGCTTATCGGTAGCGGCAACCGGCGGCGTCAAGACCCTTCATCAGCGCATCTCCCTCTACTACTACGAATCACAACCACGAGTAGGAGAATCGCGCTACACCAAGAATACGCTCACAAGATTATTATCACTGATTACCTAAAGAAACTCTCACCTATTCATTGTATCATACTTTCAATCTCACCTCAATAGACCACTGATTATTTATTATATCATTACACCAAATAAAGGAAAATCAACTCATACAAAGGCCGTGTTGAATTTTTGCACTGTCCATTCCACTTGTCAGCAAGCCTCCTCTCAACATCTCAAGGAAGCTTTAGTCTGATCCCAGACAACTAGTGTCATAAAACATCAGGAAAACTCCAGTGAAACGTGCTCATGCTTCCAGTACAGTAGAACTTAATGGGTTTATTGCCGGAAGAACCCCAAAGTAGATTCAGAACGAATATCAGATATGCGTAAAGTATCGAGTCCAAAACATTTCCTAAGATCACTGCAACCCAAAAACCCCGCAAGTGCAATAACCTGCAATGGCCGTACGTGCGCACTTAGCCTTTAAGACAATGCTTGCATTGTTCTTGACTATGTCACATCTGGTCGATCGCATCGGAAAATCGACCACGCGCAAGAGGACCCTCCATCTAGCCAAGTCCCAGAAAAGGGAGAAGCGACCAAGGAGAGGTGACCAATAGTAAAAGCTCCCCACTTTCCGACACTTTCCTGATTAGCATATTCGGGACTGAGCCCGGAAGGAAGTGGAAATGAAGGCGTACATAATCTATTGTGCTGCCCAAGATCAACCTCTGAATTATATCATACTACATAAATTTTTGTTAACAATTTATTATATCAACATAATTAACCAAATATTACTAAATAATTTACATTTAATTTGTTCGAAAGTTTTTGTATTTGATCCGGTTCGAAAGATCAAATATTGAAAATGTATTTAATTTTCTGGTTCAAACTACCAAGTTCAATAGTTCAGTTTATTTGTTGGCCGCTTTAGCGATGCGTAGGAAAAGACATAAGTGGAAGGGCTGTAAATATGTACAGTGTGTGTAAACTTTGTTAGTGCATCGGTTTATTTGATTTTATTGACAATTACACTATTGTTGTTCTAAATTCACTTCTCGTGGTAGAGAGTGAATTATGTTCTATTACAAAGATGTAGTTGCTCCTTGGTAATGGTGGCGATGTCATCGATGCCGTTATGGGGAACAGCAATGGATTTTGTATAAAAAAATTAATTTAAAGGGCAATATAGCTTGGTTTAATCTGTATGTTAACGTTGTAAGGATTAGAAGGGAAAGCCGAACATACTCATAAAGGGAGAATGGGTCGTTGCAAGGATTAGCACGGAGAATCTACCATTCCTACAAAGGGAGTATGGAATTAAGAATGGTCTGTGCTAACATCGTAAAGGTTAGCAGGGAAAGCCGACCATACTCATGAAGAAAGTATGGTATTAAGTAGGAGAGTCCGTTATCATTCTTCGTGTGGTGAACTATTTCCTTGTATTGCAGTCAGTCTTGGAGTCCTGTACCTTGAAATGGTTGCACTGAGAGAGCGTGGATTGTGTGACTTTCTCTCTGCTGTAGACTCCGATTTCATAGCGTCTGTAGGGCATAGATGACTGGCTAGGACGAGTAACTGACTTGGAGGAATAACTACACTGCATAATGAACAACTGCTGCGTGATAACTACCGATAATATCAGATAATATCAGATAATATCTGAGCGGTAGCTAAAACTAGTTAGCAACGATGCTTAGGTGCTGCTATACAGAGACTAGTCGGATTGCAGAAGGTTCAAGAATCTAAGCTTTGAGCTATTCGGGAATTCGGCGAAAGCGAAGCCTTAGAAGATTCGAGAATCTAAGTTTTGGACTATTCGAGAATTCGGCGAAAGCAAAGCCTTGGAAGATTCGAGAATTCAATTGACGTTGCTATGTGAAGACTAAGCAGCCTTGCAGAAAGTTCGAGAATCTAAGCTTTGGGCTATTCGAGAATTCTGATTGTCAAATGTTTACAAACTTTCGAGAACTAGAAAATTTCCGAGAACCGAAGGCCTCGAAAAAATACTCGAATTCCGAACACAATTTATTTAAATATTGCTTAAAATCTAATTTTATTCGTAATTGTTTAGAGATTAATACAGGAATAATTCGATAATAATCTAAATTGATATGTCAAAACTAATTTCAAAAGTTAATTCAAGTAGTAATTTTGCACAATTTATGTATATTTTATAGAGAGCCATGATAATGAAGATACATAAATAGACACCGAGAGATTCTACTGCCACCATTCATTTTTTATATTTATCAAATGAATGCCAACTAAACATATATCTAAGGTAATAATTATACTAATTATTAATAAAATATGAATGGTTAATTAAATATTTAAAAATATTTATTAGACAAATAAAGGATTTAATAAAATTATTACACATATTATAAAATAGTCAATACGAATAAAATTGATACATAAATGTATTGTTTATACTAATATAATATTAAAATTATACTTACATTTATAACAATTCTTTCACAAAAATCGTGATCATGTGGTATAGGTTCAAAATGAGTTATACCACCGTACTCATTTTGAACATTTGGTCCATCATCATCTTGATTGAATAATTTAGGTATTGATCTACAAATATAAAAACAATTAGAATTTAATAATGTTCAATAAAGATCGACATACATAATATCTTGTTAGAAAAAAAGTTATTTCATTATATTGAATATTTTATATATTATAATTATTACAACAACAGAAATTAAATTCTATAAATATAAATATAAATATATATATAAAATTCAATAAATATAAACAATTATAGTCAGTTGTTTAAACCGATTGCACATAGTAATAAAAAATTCCCATTTGTTCTATTTTTAAATCTCATCTATTAAATACCTTATAACAGATTTAAACATCCATGCACATATGTATGTATGTATATAAATATATTATATATTATTATATATATAATAATAATAATAACGATATTTTTAATTTCTCTTTATAAACTTTACTAATTGATACAGTAAATACAAAATGTAATATGATATATCCTAACATAAACACTAATATCATATGTATTTATGATAGTCGTATTTATGAATTGATAAAAGCTGGTGTCATTCGAAGTAAATAATGAAACATATGTTTAATTGAAGCGTAAATTATTTTGATAAAACTTTTTTTTTACACAGTGTAGTTTTCAGTGCAAATTAAACAAAAATTTATCGAATGAAAATCAACAATGAAATGAACTGAGTACAATTAAAGGTATAAATTAATAGCTATAAACATACATAGCTAAAAAGGAGAAATTTCTCTACTTATGTAATAAAGAACATGCTTTCAAATTTACATTTAATATTAGATTTATATTTTGAGTGGTTGGAACACTAAAAGTTGCAGGGAAACTCGTATTAGTAGTCGATTGCATCTTCAATCAACGGACTATTTAGTATAATTTTAATATTGACATTAGTGGAACTATATTAATAAGAGGAAGGTATAATGGTATTTATTTATGAATTAATTATTATATCAATTAGATTACACAGTGGAGTACTCATATAAAAATGCATTTAATTAAAATATATTTATTCGGCTAATAATTTTGAAGATTCTATAAAACCATAGTCTTAGTACACAACCTTCTTACTCGAATTGTCCTATTATGTATAGTATTTGTCCACGATTGGTCTTATTTTTTACTAATACTTCTCAACTTCTTTATTCGTATATCTGTTATCCTGATTCAATCTTAAATTCTGGTATTAATTTTATGATTGCACCCTTCACTGTAGTCTGTAGCGTTGCGTACGTTTTCTAACTCTATTTCCGTTATAGTTTTAGTCATTGTTATCTTCTACCGATGATATAGTAATGATGATGTAGTGTAATAAAGTGGTAAATAACAATTCAAATTTATCAAAAACAGACCAAAATATACGATTAAGACGTAATAAATAAAACAATGAAAATATAGAAGTAATTAAACAATAAAAACTATAAAAACAGTGGTAGTACAGCTTTGCTAGAGAATATAATTGAAATATAACAGTGAATTAAAGATAATTATAACAATGACTTCTTATCAAGATAAAGATGAAGCTTATGTATATTAAAATACACATACTACTAGGTTCTCATTACTAACCTTTGGAAAGTAAATCTATAATTGAAGCCTATAGTTTGCCAGTGTTTGAAACTAGTATGATTTCTTGGCCCAGATTGCCAATGTTCCAATACTACTCGGAATTGGATCATTTTTTCGAAGCTTTCGGTTCTCGGAACTTCACCAAGCCTTCTAGCCCTCGAATGTTTACATTTGTTTTCGCCGAATTCTCGACTAGCTCAAAACTTAAATTCTCGAACTTTGCCGAAGCCGTTTAGCCCTCGAATGTTTACATTTGCTTTCACCGAATTCTCAACTAGCTCAAAGCTTAGATTCTCGAAAGTTCTGCAAGGCTGTTGCACCTTCACATAGCAGCGTCGATTCAATTCTTGAATCTTCCTAGACTTTGTTTTCGCCGAATTCTCGGATAGTCCGAAGCTTGAATTCTCGAACCTTCAAAGACCTTGCTTTCGCCGAATTCTCGAATAGCTCAAGTTTAGATTCTCGAACCTTTCGCAAGGCCGTTAGTTCCGCATAGCAGCAACTAAGCATTGTTGCCAGCTTGTTTAGTTGCCGCTTTGATATTTAAGAAAGCGCGCATCAAGACTTCAAGTAGTTATCACTCAGCAGTCATTCAGTGCATAGTGCTAATTATTCCTCCGGTTCAGTCACTCGGCCTAGCCAGCCATCCACGCCCTAGCCACGCCATTACACGGAATCTACAACAGAAAGAAAGTTATGCAACACACCCTCTCCCAGTACAGCCATTCCAAGGAACACACTTCAATTCTCCAGGACGCACGCTTAAAAACCAGTCAAGGGCTGACTGCAATACAAGGAAATAGTTGACTACACGAAGCACGGTATCGGACCCTCCTTCACACGAGGTATACCAGCAGTCTTTATTGAGAATAACTACCACATAAACATTCCCATACTCCCATTATGAGTATGGTCAACTCTCCCTGCTAATCTCTGCTACTTTAGCCTAAACCTCAACCAAGCCATATCTCCCTTCAGGCAATATTCAAAATCCATTGCTGATTTTCATAATGTCACCATCACCAAGGAACAACGATATCATTGCGATAGAACATAATTCACTCTCTACTACGAGAAGTGAATAGAGAACAACAATAGTGTAATTGTCAATAAAACTAAATAAACGATGTCCTAAACAAAGTCACACACTATACTACAGTCTACACCACATATTTACAGACCTTCCACATGTGTCTTTTCATAAGCATGGCTAAGGCGAGCGACAAATAAATTGAACTATTGAACTTGACAGTCGAGTCTGAAAACTACATTTATTTGATCCTTCGAATCGGATCTAATAAACAAGCAATTTCGAATAGATAGCTTTAATCATTTTCCGCCCACCGTAGCAGATGCTTGGGTGGCGGTCAAGTGGAAGGGTATAATTTGTTAATAGTTAATGATAAACAGTATTCACTTTTCACAGAAGTGTGTAAGCTTTGTCTTGTCGCAATGATGTAAGGAAGCTAATGTTATAAGGGTTAGCAGTACTATGCTCACACTCTTATACAGGACGTGTGGCTTGAAAGTGTATACAGTGAAAGTGGCTTGTAGCCTGTGAAAGCGTATACAATAAAATTAAGAATACGTTTTAAATATAGTTCTCTTTAACAGTATGGGTATTTTTATACTCCTTAGATAAATAATAATAAAAATATAATTTAAAATAGTGTATAAAGTATGTTATATTTTTAGTATTTTACTCGTGGGATAAATATAATAATTTATTAGCAATGTCCTTAATTACCATAATACCCGATTTTTAATATACATAAATAATCAATTGACTCAATAGAGATTATAATAAATGCTTTATAGCTTGTATAAAATACAACTAGATAATTAAATTAGAAAATTAAACAGGAGATGCCGGTAATAGAATCAGGAGGTCTTCTTCGCTCAAAAGCAACGAAAAGAATGAGTTCCTTCACTGAAGAATACACCACGACAGGAGTTGCTCTCGCCCATGAATCGGTAAGCTTTCCGATTGGATACAAGAGAAGGTAAGGCGTCTCAAGTGGATACCAGGATTAGTGAACTATATAAGACAGAAAAACACTCACTTACACACTCATGTTGAAGTCACCAAGAAAGAGGTAGTCCCCTCAGCTGAGTCCGAAGCCATATCTACATTTGTAGTCTCGTGCCCCACGCGTACGAAGCCTATCATCGCGCCATTCAGCGCTCACGTTGCCTCTCGTGCTCAAGGAGAAAGAAAAGGAAAAGTCATATCAGCTGAGTCCGAAGAAAGTCTTCGTTAATAATCTTCTTAATATAAAGTGCTTTGCCACCTGCTCACACACGGTCTCTCCAGTAGACAGCCTCAGCCCAAGGAGATCTTCGCTGGCGCCAAACGCAAGAAGCGGGCGTCGCGCCATTCAACGTCACACCGTATCGATCCTAACCTCTAATATAGCACGTGCATCAAGAGCACAACAATTCCTCACCGCCAAATTTAGAAGAAGTCCCTTGTGCCAGAGCGTATCAAGGGCAAGTATTGAGAGTGCGTCAGCATCGCCCACGACTCTCATCTTCGCTCGCACTAACTGTCGCCAGCTTGTGCCAAAGGAGATTTTCGCTCATGTTCATCATGCATGAAGCCTACTTCGCATCATTTAGTGTATTTTACGTATGGAACGTTTCTCTATTTTCATATTCAAGACTGTGCCCACGCGTACGACTCACTTATTTAGAAGAATTTGCAACTCAGGCCAAGGCGCATTACTCACAGTTCCAGGAATTTTCCTCTTGACAAGCTGTGTTAGTAATCTTCTCAATCAAGGTGCTTCGCTACAAATATTTTACGGTATCTCCAGTTGCCAGGCTCCACAGCATATTTCAAAGTTCAAGGCCAATTCAAGGTAAAAGCTACAATTTCCTATTATTTCTACAGTCTGTGCCAACTTAGAATCATTGTAGTGTGGTTTTTAAAGAAAAAACGCAATAAACAGCACGAAAAGCAGATCTCTTAAATATTTCATGAATGCGCTACCTCTTCCACTTGCCTGCATTTTTTTCCCACTTTTACAACTGGTGGGCTTAGTCTAATTCTAAACAATTGTACATGATACAATGTTATACAAAAATTCTTTGAATTTGACATAAATTTAAATTTGAAATTATGAAAATTGATAAAATACGCTGAGAGTTTTGTATTCGAAATAAAACAGTAAAAGGCGATGAGTTAAGAAGGGGTTATAAGCACTCGTGCAGTAATTCCTTGTCTCACTAAATAGATATACTTGCCGAAATTTCATAGAAAATCCGTCAGAAAGTAAAACTAGGAATTTATATTTTCATGTTGTAATGAATTCACCAAAAATATTACAGCGAAGTATGTCAGTAATAGACTTTAATCTAATCAATTATAATGGCAAGCATACATTTATACTTACATCAAAATTAATATCACAACTATCATACATATATTACTATCAATGCGTATTCATAATTCATAAATTTTTACATTAAG